TATATATACACACACACACGCGCACGCGCACACGCACACGCACACGCACACGCACACGCACACACATACGCGCACATATGTATACATACATCTATTTATTTATTTATTTATCGTAATGCTCCTTCTAAGATACGTAAGAAAATTTTCTCGCTTGTCTTATTTTGGCAATTATTTTGTTTTTTTAAGTTTAAATTTTATTTTTACCGAAAGGGGAAGCCAGCGGCAGGCGATGCGTCAAAGCTTACTATTTTTGCACGTCGATTTTCCTCTGGAAAAAAAAACAAAATAGATTTGACGTTCAAGGTCGCTGCGCAATCAGCATTGCGTGAGCGAGCTGCAAATTTAAGAGTTTAATTAAATGTTTACATATGAAATCCGGCGAGCTTTCGAAGCCGAGGTTCGACGCCGACGTTTTTTCGGCCTTTTCCCAATATTGCCGCGCAACAACAATGCCGAAAAAGACTTGCGAAATAAGCCAGGAACGTCGAGTTCGAGTAGCTCGCCTTTATAGAAAAACAAATCTTTATTGTTTGAAATTTTTAATCTTATTGAAGATTTTACGAAATTAAGGAGATGATAAAGCTGATTGTTGCCGATTGATTGATATGCCCGCGAAACATCAATAACCTCGCGACAATTATCATGCAATTGTCAATTACTTAATAATTTCGGCTTATTTGCATTAATTCGAAATGGTTATTTTCATTCTAGACGTCACTCTAGACGTCCGTCTAGACGACACTCTAGGCGTCACTCTAGGCAGACGGGATTTTCATGGGCTCGGCCGTTTAGCCAATGAGAGAATAAAATAACCACTTGGAACATTGCAAATGAGTCGAATGGACAAAAAAAGTAATTTCCGACAGTCACAATAAGCGCGCCAGAATACGATTTTCCGGGATAATACTCAATAGGTAAAAATCAACTTTCCCTTCTCCTTAAAAACTATATCTTTTTCGTTTTCTTTTTCTTTTTCTTTTTCTTTTTATTTTTATATTTTTCTTTTGTCTCATAAACATCTTTGTAATAAATTCATAATTATTGTGAGAAATTGACCTTGAATTTTGCCAAAGCGGAACGTCAAAGCGGAAATAATGCAGACAACTCAGCGTTTAGGGCTTATAAGGGGGGATATATATTATCGTTTTAATACGTTCGACTGCATAAAAAGTACCGGACGATCTCGGGCGATTTCGGGCGAATGTGGAAAACGACCTCGTGCTTCGGTTATTACGAAACAAGTGGACGAATTCGGAATAAAATAGATACATAAAAAAGAATCGAGTACGAGATCGAGCAGTTTGACGCGCCATTACGAATACTCAAGTGGTAGCACGAGTTATTGAGGAGGGCAGTAGTCCGTTAAAAATGAATTATTAAAAAAAGATAGATCGATCGAGGTATTAAAGAAAAGGAAATATGCAAATCTAGCAGTTTTTAAGATTCTGTGTGAGCAGTTTTTCTTTTCTTTTCTTTTTCTTTTTCTTTTTTTTTTCTTTTCTTTTCTTTCCTTCTCTTTTCTTCTCTTTTCTTGTCTTAACTTTGCTTTTCTTTGCTTTTCTTTGCTTTTCTTTGCTTTTCTTTGCTTTTCTTTGCGTTTCTTTGCTTTTCTTTGCTTTTTCTGTTAAGGGCGACGGGACAATCGAATGTTTCGTTAAAAATGTCACTGTCGCCCGCTCGAGTCACTTGGAGAGATTTACGTGTCGAGCGGCCTCGTTGGCCAATTTGCTTTGTCAAACAAGGCGCGGCTCGTCAACATATCGACAAAATATTTTCTCTCGCCCCAAGCACGAATCTCATGAAAATACCGATCGCATCATCAACATCTCGTGCCACGACTTAAGGCTCTTGTCGAGTAGACTTGAATTATTAATCGTAACCTGCAGTGCTGAAGAGAACGGAAAATCGAGGCGTATCACGCCATTCTTCCTTCCTTATAGAGGAAGAAAAAAAAGCGGTCGAAGATACTGCCGCCAGCGGTGTGAAGCTACGATTTTTGGCGTTCGACGCACGCGGAGGGAAGCTGCCCGCCAAAACAGTGGTCCCATTCTTCGTAGTTTAGCAATTATCATTGATCGGGCGCATTCGCGAGTGCCCGCTCTTATTAATCGCGTCTCTCAAATTTAATAAGCTCGAGTGTCGACTGCGGCTTGCTCATTATTAACTTGCGCTTGATTATTCGTTGCGCAACCAATGGACCGATCGTCGATTGCTTATCTGGGCTCTCGAGCCTCCTTCCATTCACTTCATTTCTTAATCTTCATTTCGACTCTTTTGACCGTCGATAGCTCAAAGCCGATAATTTAATCGTTTTTTCTATTGGGTTCTTTTTTTTCTTGTTGATTTGTTGTTGTTGTTGTTGTTGTTGTTGTTTTTTTTTTTTTTAATTGTTTTTTTTGTTTTGTTTTTGTTTTGTTTTTGTTTTTGTTATCTCTCTGCGTCTTTTGCTTTGGTTTTCGTTTTTGTTTCTTAATGGCAATGCTCCTCGTGCATCGCTTTCTCGACACGCCCGTCGCGAATATTACGTTAAGAATCTTTAATTGGACCATTGTTTTTGCTAAGCTTCTGTCCGCGTGTGCAGACGAAAAATTGTGCAAGATCGATATACATGTTTTATAAATACGAGAAAGCTCGCAACGCTTTGGCGTCACTGAGATACGCTTTTTTTTCTTTTTCTTTCTCTCCTTCTCTCTCTCTCTCTCTCTCTCTCTCTCTCTCTCTCTCATCATTATTATTATTACTATGATTATTATTGAAAAAATTTTTTTTGTAGCTTTATTTTGTTGTTGTTGCTGTTGTTTTTTTTATTGCTATTTATTTATTTATTTATAAATCTTATTTTTTTTTATTATTTTTTTTTTTTTGCTTGTTTTCTTTTCTACCTCTTTTTTGCGTTCTATTTATTTTTCAGTTTATTCTGTTATTTCTTTCTGTAAACTAATTCTCTATCCGTTTTATGCGTAAGTGGTAGGCTTTCGTTGGATAAGATCGCGATTTCTTATGTTCACTCGACTGATTCCTTCGAAACACATCCTAAGCTATTTTACTTATTTCGTTTAGCTTCAGTCTCGCGTCTTTGCCAATAATTGCGCGATCTTATGAACTATGAGAAATTAAACAAAAAATTCAAATAAAGAGATTTGTAGGCAATCGACATTGTGTATTGGGCTGAGAAAACAAATTCCCCTACCGAGTCACTACTCTTTTGTAATAGCCTCGAACGCTAGGAACAATGCTCGTTTTATGATACTTTCTAATGTGATTTGGAATTTGATTCGATCGTTGAAACAAGGCCGTTCGAGTATGGTATTTTGTCAATCATTTAATCTCGTTTATTTAAGGAGCCCATATGTGGCTGCCGATCGAAGCAATGGATTTCTTTTACTTTTTCATTTCATTTTTATTTTTATTTTTTTCCCTTTACGAAGAGCAAAGTTACTAGGGTTCGAGAAAATTCATAAGAAATTCTTTTCATTTCTTTTTTTTTTTCTTTTTGTTTTTTCTTTGTTTTTTTTTTTATTTAATTATTTTTTTGTTATTTTTTTTTGTTTTTTTTTGTTTTTTTTTTGTTTTTGTTTTCACTTTATCGATTTTTCTTCTTCTTAAGAAACCGAGCGCTCAGCCAAAATAGTTCACTCATCGGATATTCCTAAAGTTGTCGGATTAATGGATAAACAAGTACATTTAAATATGAGAAGTATTTGTAAATTGATTTTACGACGCATCATGGTATCATCGCGCATATACAGCGAGATTATTTTCCCTTCTTTTTTTTCTCTCTTCATTTTCTTTTGTTTTTACTTTCCTTCATGTTCGTTTAATATTAATATTAATATAAATATAACACTATCGAGGATCTTATCTACGACAAATATACGATCGATCAATGCTAATTGTATAGCACGACGAATTAATTTCCTATTTAAAGTCTAAGTTTCGACCTTAAGTGCTAAGTGAACTACTGCTGGGCGAGCGCACAGTTTCTGCTCGAGTTTAGCATCTACGTATAACAACTGCGAGACAGCTGCGTTCGTGTGTGTATGTGTTGTGCGTGTATTGTAGTGTAGATGTGTGGTGAGAGGATCGCTCCGACGATGATATTCAGGAAGCGAAGCGGGCTGTTTAAGTTATCGACAAAAGTAGACGTGTCCTCGTCATACTGGAGTGAGATCGAGATGAGACTTTTCGGCTTTTCGTGCATTGATCCAGAAAAAAGAAAATTACTTCACGAGAGGAATATTTTGTTGTTGTTGTTTTTTTTTTTTTTTTTGGTCGACAGTGTGGAGGTAGGTAACCATAGATTCTCTTCGGTCCAGTAAGTTGAGTTGCAGTTTGACTTTTTTCCGGCAAAGACCAAAATTGAGAAAATATAAAGAAGAGAGCCTCTTTTCGTCCGTGTCGCGTGAGAGTTGGATGGAATTCTGAGGGAAGAATAGCCGAACCGTTTCTCGACCGACCGACAACTTGACACCGAGACTCCGATAGTGCAGATATAACTATGTCACGCACGCGAATCAAATTGGGACTGTGTTTACTTTTCATCCAAAGGGATCGTCTCTCTTTCTCTCAACCATCATCTTCATCGTAGTAGAATCCAGAGAATTGTGAAGGAAGCATTTACCTTTGTCAGGAATCCTCTCGCTCTTAAACCCACCAAAATTTCCACTTTATCAGCAAATCATAATCACTGTGACACTCGTGATCTGCACGATCATGGATAAACACTTCTCTTCGTCGTCATATCGCTCAACCAGGTTGCCGCGAAACGAACGCGAGACTTTGGAACGAAGAGAATACGTGGAACACGGCTCAGGCTTTCATCGGCATATGCTTTTGTCGTTTATCCGAAACGCTCAGGGCCGCTGTGCTTTCTTCTTCTACCCACATAACATCATCATCAACATCATCATCATCATCATCATCATCATCATCATCATCATCATCATCATTATCATTGCATTATTATCATCGTCGTCGTTGTCGACGTATACATCATCGTCGTCATCGTCGTCGTCATCGATACAGGATGCCATTAATGATTAATTTCCATTTTTGCAGGTTTTTCATTTAGATCGACTTGTTAAAACCTCAGGCTCAATCGACCACAGCTACCAGCTTGTTTCGTCATGAGGTCGCTGCTGACGATCTGGACACGAACGAGCCACGCCATTGCTATTGTTGTTTCCGGACGACGAGGCGTTCAAGTACGTCGTCTGGGGCGCGGAGGTGCGTCGTATTTCGATTGGTTTCGAGCCAAACGGCGGTGGTCGGCCCAAAACCCCCTGATTGTTTCACGAGAGGTTGCGCTGGTCGTCACCGCTATCGTCAGCCTTCCTCAGCGAGCGCTTCAGCTTGTCCACCAGACGATTGTGGAATTTGTTTAGGGAACTGGAGCTGCCGGTTTTTGGAGGTGAAGAGCCGGTGCTTTTGCTGGGAGATTGTAAGGAACTCTGGGAGGCTCGAGAGGAAGTGCGTGAGAAGTGACGGCTGCTCAGGGGGACCGAACGATGGGCTGGGGATGTAAGGAAGTCCGAACCCGGGGAGGTCGACAAGGATGGGCCCTCCGACTTCGAACATTCCGAGACCTGCAAACATAAATAAAAAGATCTCATTGCATTACAATGCCAATGGTCGTTTTCCAGTCGGCTACATAACAAATCCTTCCTTCTTATAAATATTATATTCAACATTAAATTATGATGTGAAATTATTTAGCAAGAAAATAATTGATAACGGGTTACAGCAAGTGCGAGCTATGTAATCTGAAACTTGTAGCTCAACGATACAAAGATACGATGATACGAAAACACAAATACGTATAAAATATTTTTCCTAAAAAGATTACACAATTATGTACGTGTAATATCATATAACGTAAATATAAAGAATTATTAAAAGTCGATATAATGTGTAAAAGATTAACAAACGAAAAAAAAAAAAAAAAAAAAAAAAAAAAAAAAAAAGGAATATAAATGATGATTATAGTTATTATTAGAATGTAAAATATGTTTATTCGAGTTAATCGAGCCATTCGTAATAAATAGTAAAAGTGAAATTTAAGTGAATTCATAGATTCATCATAATGACGTATGCAGTGCGCATTCCAGTATTGAATTTATCTCAAAGTGCATCCGGATCTAAGTGAAATAGTGAAATACGAGTGACGTATGTACTCACGACTTCCATTAACCCAACATCCGCAAAATAATTAATCATCGTTGGTTTGAATTGAATTGAAATCACGATCGCGTAAGAAAGTCTCGAATCCAATAGTGATTGTAATTTAGTGCGTGTTTCTCGAATTAAATATTCATCAAATCAAATATTCGATAATACACTTCCCTTTCAAAGCAAAAGCTTCTATTGCACTTACAAGTTAATTTTTAATGTCTCTGGTGCTTCGCATTACTTATACTGTACAGTGAGATAATACGAGGCCAGACAAATGTTTCGATCGGCATATTTGGTATAATGAAAAAGGACAAAGTTTATACGTAATTCGTAAACGAAGAATTTTTTTTTAATATTTTTTTCTTTAAATTACAAATGCAGGACAGATTTATATAAGCGCCAATTTTATTGCAAATTTTTATGTAGAAAATTTTTTGTTTACCTACATTCTCAAATTGGATTAAAATAATACTGCAACTGTTTCAAAGCTAAAAACACTCTCCACTCTTGTTCGACATAAAATAACATATACATGTCAATTTGCATCATTCATAAAAGAATTCGTGCGAAATGGGCAGATTGCCATATTGTGACTTATAATCGGCATAAATGAATATCACCGGAAATTCCTCGTTGACTGCAATATAATTCCTACTGTTTTATTTACCATCATGCAGCTTCGTGTCCCTTTGTTGCAGACAAATAGCAAACATAAGCAGCAACGCTTGGAGAACATTGAATTCCATTTTCATTATCATTATTGGGAATAATTTTCAATTAATATACCGCCCGAGTGCGCCTGGTACATTGATAGTTTATGTTTTTACTTATGTGCGTGCGCTCACGCCTACTAGGAGATATCATTTCTCGAAAATGATAATTTACCATATAATACAGCATAAGGCATAAATTATAAAGCATATAACGCTCTCGCTTATTAATGGCGTTAAAGCCAGCAAGTCATCTTGGTAATCACAGTTTAGAGATAGATGTATCGGTAGCCTACACATCTAATTGGCAACTCAATTGTATAAAAAAGTGTTCAAATACGAGCGTTTGAAATATAAAATTTTACCCATAAAATACATTAATCAAATATCATTTATTCTCGTGTTATAATGTGAAGTATTCTTATCGGCGATGGTGAATATTTAATTATTAATTTTCAAAATAACACAATAATATCTTGTTAATAATATTTCAACACAATATTTTTATCATTGTGTCTAATGCTGACTTATTTATATGAAATAGTTGAATGTGGTGAATCGATGAACTTTTATACGCGTCTAATGGCTTGCTTGCAACCAACAATGTTTTAACAACATTGGTAATTTTGAAAAACTATTTAATGAGTAAGGTAAGGTAAAAATTAAGTATGCCGAGACGTTGTCGCATACACATATGCGTATATAATGAGTCAAAACTTTATAAATACGGCAATAGAATGAAATAAAATTAAGCAAGTTATTATTAGCACGACAACTCAATTCTTTTCGTTCTCCTGTCCAATATTAGCGAATTACAAATTGTCATCGCTCTAGAGGCTATATTAAAAATAACTTATATATTTGCATCACTGTCGCTCGCAATTATAAATCAATTAATTAGCAGGAGGAATTGAAAGAAAAGATTTTTATAGGCAACGCAAGAATATCAATTTCAATGGAATTATCAATGATAAATAATGGATGAAAGTTTGAGATTAAAGATAAGTTAGATGAGAAGAATCGTAGCGCCGGCAATCGTGGAATATTGAAATTATCATGAAACTACGCGTCATCCAGCTAAGCGATGATGTCTGGTGATAACACCAGATCGATCCTGTGCCAATCGGATCCTTTAAAATGGAATTATCCTGCGACTTGTCCGAATTGTCATGTGCATTTGCAATCAAAGCCATAATGTCCGGAGTCGTTTACCGTTCGATCGAGCGGACCTGACCGGAGGAGGCTCGCATTTCCAATTCGATACTCTTTCGAAGCGCAGGCGGAAAAGCCTGAGCACATGGCAAACCGCTCGCTTATGACTCATGCATAATATAGCCGCGGGTACGCGCACACCACACCGTGGAGCTGGTGGAGAGGTGGAGCACGTGGGGCCGCGCACGAGACGCTGCCTGCTTTCTCATTACGGTCGCGACTTACCGAGCGACGATCCTCCTCCCACCTCACACCCCCTTCGTCGTCCCCTTCACTCGGCATCTACGTCTTCGACGTACCCCCCAACCCCCCTCACCGCCCCTCCCCATCCACTCCACTCCACTCCACTCCACTCCACTCCACTCCCAATCCTCCCTCGCGCCGCATCCACCCCACCTACGCCATAGTATCCCATATCGTCGTCCCGACGGCTTTTTATTCGACGACGGGAGCCGGAGGCAAGGACGACGAAGGCTCGGCTTTCGACTTCGTGAGTGCCGCCAGTGTCTCTCAAACGAGGGGCTCGACCGGGCAGGTGTCTAGCCGAAGGAGCCCCGTCGCCGATTCTCAATTTGGAACGATCGCGAATCTCGCGATTAGAGCAATTGTTTCATGGACGCGACGTTGTCTTCGAGGAGGAACGTGATTAACAACTTTCCCTCCCTTCTTCGCTTCCTCATTATTCCGAGTTGCGTCGTTAATCGCATCAGAACAACGAGACTCGACTACATTCCTGC